AACCGGCAGGGATGAGCACGACTTTGCACGTGGCGTACCCGCACTTGATCCAATACCTTGCCCGGTGTGTGCCATGGAAAGGAGTTGATATCCCCGTTCTTTTTCAGCACGGACTTGTCAACCGCATAGATGTTGGCACAAGCGGTCTGGTACTTGTCACGGATACGGGAAACTCACTGGTAGCGACGCGGCGTGCCAGTGTCGTAGACCGGCGCGTTGAGAAGATATACCGGGCCCTTGTGCTGTATTGTCCCCCGCCCGAGTCGCGGGCGGGTAGCGAGGAGTTTTGGTACCTCAATCCCAAGGGCGCTATTAATTGGAATGTGTTTGCCAATGGCGCTGACTACTCACTGCAGCTTGCGGCCCAGGATCCTGAGAGAAAAAGAGGGCTACCACCGGCATTCATGGACCGGCGTCCAGCAACAACGATGTACCGTGTTCTGAACTATTATCCCTCCAGTGGTGTATATTATTTGGAGGTGCAGCTTCGCAGCGGGCGCCGACATCAGATCCGTCAGCATTTCGCACAGATTTGTCATCCGCTGGTTGGCGATGGCCGTTATCACGAGCGGGCAAGGTCAATGGGTGAGCAGATGGGTCTCTATCGACCTGCTCTACATGCGTCCCGGATAACTCTCCTACCGTCTTCCCTAGATTCTGCGACGGATGCAATCGATGTTGCGTCGTATACCAGGAAGGAGGACTCGGAAAAGACTGTTGTAGAGTGCCCGTTGCCAGACGATATTCGACGTGCACTACGTTGGCTGCAGGAGAAAGAGGAAAGGGGAAAGGGCACGGATCACGTCTAACGCTGCTACTCTTCTTTTGTTTTTTTTTGTTGAATTGCAGGAAAAAAAAAAAAAAAAGTAGATAAAATTACATTGTTAAATTTTTATGCTTATTTTTATATAATATGCACATAGAAATACGCTTAACGATAATTTTTTTTTTTTACCATTAACTTGCATGTGTTTTTTGTTTTTCTCCGTTAGTCCTTTTTATTATTATTATTATTATTATTATTATTATTATTATCACTGTCTTCTTTTTTTTTTTTTGTGTGTGTGTCTGTGTCTGTGGGGGGGGGGGGGGGGGAAGAAATTTGGGTTTTGAATTATCCCTTGTGACATCCGAGGAAAGGGGGAAATAAACAGAGAAGGGGAGGTTAGATGCATTCTATGGGGGATGTGCTCACTTCAGAGCAAGAAGAGGCGTTTCATTGGCGACTGAACGAGGCTCGAAAGGCCAAGGACAGAGGCAATGTTGCTTTGGAATTTGGGAGGCGGCAAAAGGATTCTAAGAAGCTGCGCGAGGCATCGTTTAGCTACAAAAAGGGTTGTTTGCTCCTGACTGAGTACATCCCTGACACGAATGAGAGCGCGGGAGGCAGCCTTCAGGACATGTTAGTCAAACGGCAAGCGGGGGCCAGGCGGCACCCACTCAGCGAGGAGCAATTCGCTGAAATCATGGAGTTGTATGTTGCCTTGCAGAAAAATCTGGCCTTTGTAAACTACTTTCTCGGTCGCCACGCGGAGGGAGTGAAGTGTGCAACAACTGTACTCTCGATTTCTGGGCATGAGAATGACGATAAGGCGTTGTTACGTCGCGCTCACTGCAACCACTGCTTTGGGGATTTAAGAGCGGCAGAGACAGACTTGAATACCTTGGAGCGTCTCAGCAAGGATGGAAACGTGCCAATTGATTCAGCGGTACCCGATCTACGTAGACAAATTGCGAAAACCAGACAACAG